ACCATCAGGATAACAAAGGTCTTGCCTCAAAGGCGTCACTGAAATAAAAGAGAGCGCCCCGATTTAGCAGACCAAAAACAAAATGTGGTAGCTACCCTTGAAGCTTAAAAAATCCTTTAACTTTGGGAAAATTCATAGAGTGTTCTGTAGCAGGAATAATTCCACTAGTTACCGGCCCAGCTATCTCCTGTTTAGGAAGATATACCCTGCGACTACAAGCAGTAGTTGAAATATTGGCCTTAGAAACTGAAACAGTTATAACCAGTCTGGGAAACGCTATAAAAATCATAGCCCAAAAGCAAGATGAGTTACGACAAATAGTTATGAAAAACGGATTGGCTCTTGATTATGTTTTAGCTTCTGAAGGGGGTACCTGTGCAGTAATAGGGCAAGAATGTTGCACATATGTGAATAGTACTTTCCAGTTAGTAGAAGAGCAAGTAAATGCTGCGCTAGCACATGCTGCAAAGGGAGCTGAGGTTGCCTTCATTCCAAAAGATACTTCAGCCAACTGGTTCAGTTGGCTAGACCCTTGGGGTCTATTCAAAGGCTTGCTCGGAAAAATAATGTCTGTTCTGTGCCTGATTTTAGTTTTAGGCTTGTGTGTGTGTGTGTGTGTGTGTGTGTGTGTGTGTGTGTGTGTGTGTGTATCTATACTACTAATTTTGTGTTGTATCCACATGAACGTCCAAAGAATTAAGCAGAGCATTTCTAGTATCTCAAAGAAAACTAAAATAATGGTGTTGCAAAGGTGTGAGCAGATCGAAAGTAGATGGCTGCAAAATGAAAATGAAGGACTTATGAAATTGGGATTTTAAGGCTAAGATGAGACTAATAGTCTCAAAAGGGGGGACTGTGGTATATAAAAAAAAGCAAAGGCCTTAAACTTTGATCGAAGAAAGGTTGTAAAGATAAAACAAAAAGCGTTGTGTAATAGTGTGGGCGAAGATAAAAGAAGAATGTCTGGCCTTGTGGTAATCAGCGGTTACTGAGACAGCAAGAAAAGAGTGATTTGTAATAAAGAAATGAAAATAATGTTTTTGTAACTGTTACCGCAGATAGGTTTCTAAAAAAAAATTCACTATATGTTCACGTGAATTGTAGGTGGCTGTTAAAAAGGTATATAAGCCTTTTGCTTTAACGTTTAGGGAGGGAGCCCCCTCCAAGTGCATGGTGAATCCATGTCACTTTGGGCCCCTCCTACAGCTGTAGCTCTAGCCAAATAAAGCTTCTCCTGACCTGACCCAAGAGTTTGCTGCATGTGTTTTCCACGACAAATCTAAGAGTAAATTTAAGGCCTTTAGCCCTAAAAATGTCAACTTTTGCTGCTTAAGCTGCAGGATTTACAGTTACTAGTTGTAACAGGCTGTTGTTATCTTCTGATCATGTTCAGTCAGTAGAAGAGGACAACGGCCTGTGTTATCCTAACCTCTAAAACAAGGTCCAGGTTCAGACATGTAACAAAATGCAGAGCTGTTTAGAACGGAGTGCTCAGTGCAAGCCTGCCTCTTGCACCCAAACTGAAGAAAAAAAAAATGCAGTTTTTTCTGTGCTAAAGTCTCATGAAGCTATTAATTGGCTGAGGTCTGATTTTTATGAACTGACATATGCAGGATGAATGGTTTGGGAGATAAGTTCTGGCGGCCAGCTTGACTCATACTGGAAGGAGTGAGAAATTAGCGGTCAAGACATTCAGTGAAACCCCAAGATTCCTATGAAGAATACAGCTCCCAGTCCTTGATCACGAGTTAAGCCATCATTTCAGTGATGCTGTGCAAAAGCCTGGATTTGGGAGGAGATTGAAGTGGTTATATGCTTCCCTTAATTGTTTGCCTATCCCATTAAATGGTAAAGCAACATTTGACTCATTTCCTTCTCCTAGTTTTGTCTACTGTATGTTGCTTATCTTGCTGGCAAGACCGGTTCTGTGAAGAGACTTGTTCTGCTTTCTCCCTGTTTGCGGGGTGACCGTGATGCTAGAAACAAGAGCAGGTATATATATATAGACACTACCCTAAAACAGGTGCCTTCAGTTATGTTGTTTTCTTCTCTTTTTGGTGCTTAGCTCTTCCTTGCTTGTCAGATTTCTTCTGCAGCCCAGGCAATGCACCTGAGCCCTGAATTAGAATAACCTTGTCATTCCAGTACTTGACTGTTTCTTGAGCAGAGATTGATCGTCATGAAAATGGTTGGTCGATGGGCAGATGTCTGGAAGTCTAGA